GCTGTGGGCTTGTCATATATGGCTTTTATTATGTTGAGGTATGATCCTTCAATTCCCACCTTGCTGAGAGTTTTTATCAAAAATGGGTGTTGGATTTTGTCAAATGCTTTTTCTGCATCAATTGATATGACTATGTGGTTTTTTTTCTTTCAGTTTGTTTATGTGATGTATCACGTTTATTGATTTTCGGATATTGTACCATCCTTGCATCCCTGGGATAAATCCTACTTGGTCATGGTGTATGATCTTTCTGATGTACTGCTGGATCCAATTTGCTAAGATTTTGTTGAGGATTTTGGCATCTATGTTCATGAGGGATATTGGCCTGTAATTCTCTTTCATTGTGTTGTCTTTACCTGGTTTTGGTATTAGGGTGATGCTGGCTTCATAGAATGAGCTTGGAAGTGTTCCTTCCTCTTGAATTTTTTGTAGTAGTCTGAGGAGGATAGGTTTTAGTTCTTCCTTGAATGTTTGGTAAAACTCCCCTGGGAAGCGGTCTGGTCCTGGGCTTTTGTTTGCTGGAAGCTTTTTGATGACTGCTTCAATTTCTTCCATAGTTATTGGCCTATTGAGATTTTTAGATTCTTCTTGATTGAGTTTTGGAATGTTGTATTTTTCTAAGAATTTGTCCATTTCCTCCAGGTTGTCTAGTTTGTTGGAGTAGAGTTGTCCATAGTATTGTTTAACAATCATTTGTATTTCTGTGGGGGCTGGTTGTTATTTTGCCTCTATCATTTCTGATTTTGTTTATTTGGGTCCTCTCTCTTTGCTTCTTGCTGAGCCTGGCTAGAGGTTCGTCAATCTTGTTTATCCTTTCAAAGAACCCAGCTCTTGGTTTTATTGATTTTCTGTATTGTTTTTTTGGTCTCTATGTCATTTATTTCTGCTCTAATCTTTATTATCTTCTTCCCTCTGCTCACTCTGGGGTTTTCTTGTTGCTCTCTTTCTAATTCTTTGAGATGTAGAGTTAGATGATTTACTACCATTTTTTCTTGTTTTTTGAGATAGGCCTGTAGAACTATAAACTTCCCTCTCAGGACTGCTTTCATTGTGTCCCATAGGTTTTGGATTGTTGTGTTTTCATTGTCATTAGTTTCCAGAATGTTTTTAATTTCTTCTTTGATTTCATTGGTAACCCAATCAATATTTAATAACATGCTATTCAGCTTCCAAGTGTTTGAGTATTTTGGGTTGTTTTTATTGTAGTTTATTTCTAATATTATGCCATTGTGGTCTGAGAAGATGGTGGTATGATTTCAATCTTCTTAAAATTGGGGAGACTTTGTTTGTGACCCAATATGCGGTCTATTTTTGAATATGTCTTATGAGCACTTGAGTAGAACGTATATTCCGTGGCTTTGGGGTGAAGTGTTCTGAAGATGTCAATTAAGTCCATCTGATCTAGTGAGTCATTTAGAATTGCTGTTTCTTTGCTGATTGTTTATCTAGAGGATTTATCCAGTGATGTCAGTGGTGTATTAAAGTCCCCTACTATGATTGTATTGTTGTCGATCTCTTCTTTGATATCTTCCAGGAGTTTTTTTTATGTATTTGGGTGCTCCTGCATTGGGTGCATATATGTTTATCAGGGTTATATCTTCTTGTTGTATTGATCCCTTTAGTATTATGAAGTGGCCTTCCTTATCTCTTGTTATGGCCTTCACTTTGAGGTCTATTTTGTCTGATATAAGTATTGCTACCCCAGCTTTCTTTTCAGTTCCATTTGCCTGAAAGATATTTTTCCATCCCTTCACTTTCAGTCTGTGTGAGTCCCTTCTTCTGAGGTGGGTCTCTTGTAGACAGCAAATGTATGGGTCATGTTTTTTTATCCATTCAGCCACTCGATGCCTTTTGGTTGGAGCATTTAGTCCATTTACGTTTAAAGTTATTATTGAAAGGTACTTGTTTGTAGCCATTTCTTTTTTTGTGTTGCTGTTTTCTTTCTGAGCTTTTTATTTCTTCTTTTTACACCAGTCCCTTTAGCATTTCTTGCATTGCTGGCTTGGTGGTGATAAACTCCCTTAGCCTTTTTTTGTCTGTGAAGTTTCTTATTTCCCCTTCAATTTTGAATGATAGCCTTACTGGATAGAGTATTCTTGGATTCAGTTCTTTGCTTTGCATCACTTTGTAAATTTCCGTCCATTCTTTTCTGGCCTGATGTGTTTCTGTTGAGAAATCATTTTATAATCTAATGGGAGATCCCTTGTATGTAACTTTCCGTCTCTCTCTTGCAGCCTTTAAGATTCTCTCTTTGTCCTGAACATTTGCCATGGTAGTTATGATGTGTCTTGGTGTGGGTCTTTTCGGGTTCACCTTGTTTGGGACTCTCTGTGCTTGTGTGACTTTTTTCTTCCCCACCTCAGGGAAGTTTTCTGATATTATTTCTTCATATAGGTTTTCTAAGTCTTGTTCCTTTTTCTGTTGTTCTGGTACCCCTATTATTCGTATGTTGTTTCATTTCATGTTGTCCCATAGCTCCCTTAGGCTCTCCTCCTGTCTTTTAATTTTTTTCTCCAATTGCTGTTCAGTTTGGGTGTGTTTTGTTTCCCTGTCTTCTAATTCGCTAAGTCGGTCCTCTGCTTCTCCTAGATTACTGTTGAAACTTTCAATGGTGTTTTTTATTGCAGCTATATCACTCTTCATTTCTTCTTGGTTCTTACATAATTTATTGATTTTTTCATCTGTTTCTTCTTGCTTCTTGCATAAGTTGTTGATTTTTTCTTCCATCTGGTTTATGCATTCTAGGACCCTTAATCTGAATTCTTTTTCTGTCATGCTGCATGCCTCAGTTTCACTTAGCTGCTTTTCTGGCGAGTCCTCCTTTCCTTTCCTTTGAGGGTTTCTTTGTCTACCCATGTTTGATCTCACCAACATATCTAGATGTTGAGTCGTTCAGTGGCTGCTCCCTGGGTGGCAGTGGCTCCTTGGGCTGTGGTTGCTCCTCGGGCAGTTGCGGTAGCAGCTGCTCCTCAGTTGGCAGCAGCTCCTGTGGTGGGTGCTGTTTACTGCTGTGGTGGCTCCTCTGGCTGGTGGGGGGAGGCTTCACACACAGCTGCTGTTTCTCAGACAGAGGGTGTGGTGATCAGGAGGCTGCTGTTCCTTGAATGGGGGCGGGCTACACAAGCCAAAAGGAATACTATTAAGCCATTTTAAAAGTTGCATAAATAGGCGTATTGATAAACAAAGATTCATAGATTATTCATAATATTGTTTGAAAAAAAAGCAAGTTACCAAACCTGTTAAAGTTTTGTCTGTGTATATATGTGAGCCTAGAGAGATAAGCACCTAATGCTAGGCCTTAGCTAGCATTTGTCTTTGGTGAGGAAGCAGATTAAACCTATTTTTCTATTGAACATGCATTGCTTTTGTTTGTTAATAAGAAAAAATAAAGAAAACTTTGTGCCGAACCGGTTTGGCTCAGTGGATAGAGCGTCGGCCTGCGGACTCAAGGGTCCCAGGTTCGATTCCGGTCAAGGGCATGTACCTTGGTTGCAGGCACATCCCCAGTAGGGGGCGTGCAGGAGGCAGCTGATCGATGTTTCTCTCTCATCGATGTTTCTAACTCTCTGTCCTTCTTCCTTCTTCTCTGTAAAAAATCAATAAAATATATTTAAAAAAAAGAAAAGAAAACTTTGTTTAAATGCTATAAAAGTAGTGAAAAATTGAAGCATAATGCAGTATTGAAAATTATAATTATGAAAACTTTGAAGAAACTGAGCCAAATGGAGGAGTAAACAAAATGTTATCTTTGTCCTGATTTTAACTGTCATATAATGTATGTATATTGAAGAAAAGGAAACATAGAAAATGAGCATAATTTATTAAGATAGTAGGATTGTAGGCAATTTTTCTCATTGTTAAATAATTTTTAAAAATAAAAATTTATAGCAGAATTTGAATGTAGCTCATTACAATGATGAAAATGTAGAGACCAGTCAAGAAATAGATGGTATGGGTAAGGGGTGAACTTAAGCCTTCCATAATCATCATCAGTTACTTCCTATAAAACTTCATCAGAAAAAAAAGCATTTATACTTACTAAGAAAGTCAGCTTTGAGACAAGTTCCCTTTTATACAAAGATTCTGGAGCCCTGGTAATGTAGACAGTTCCCCCATTAACAACACAGGCCCAGGCCTATTTTACTGTAAAGCATTTTCTGTTCATTTATTTTTTTGGTTAATCCTCACCTGAGGATATTTCTTCCATTGCCTTTACAGAGAGTTGGAAGGAAGGAGGGGGGAGAAAGGGAGGGAGGGATAGAGAGAGAGAGAGAAAGAAACATCATTGTGAGAGAGACACATCGATTGGTTGCCTTCTGTGCATAAGCCCCCGAACAGGGACAGGAATGAACCTGCAACCCAGGTCTGTACCCTTGACCTGGAATCCAACCCCCAACCCTTCAATGTGTAGGCCGGCTCTCTAAACACTTAGCAACACCAGCCAGGGCTTTTTATTTATTTTTAATCCTCACCCAAGGATATGTTTTTTATTGATTTTCGAGAGAAAGGAAGGGAATGAGAGAGAAACATCAATGTGATGTTGCCTTTCCTGGCCAGGGATTTGAACCCATAACCTAAGTATGTGCCGACAGGGAATTAAACCTGCACCCTTTGTGTGTGTGTGTGTGTGTGTGTGTGTGTGTGTGTACGGAACATTCCAACCTAGCCACACCAGATGGGCTCTTTTTATTTTTTTAAAAAATATATATATTTTAGAGCAGCTTAAGGTTCATAGCAAAATTGATCCAAAGGCAGGAGTTTTCCATAAAACCCCTGCCCCCCCCCACCCATATGCATAGCCTCCCCATTATCAACATCGCTCACAAGAAAGGTATATTGGTTACAATTGAACCTATATTAACTCTTTACCCCCCAAAGTCCATAGTTTACATTGTAGTTCACTCTTGTATATTCAATAGGTCTGTATTTTGCGTTTTCAAAATCTTTTCATCGAACATGTTGACTTTTGCTTTTACCCCTTTTTTATTCCTGGATTTCAGAACAATGTGTGCTCAGTACTGCATCTCCTTTGCTGATGTTGAAAAAGCTCATATCAACATTCGAGATTTTATCCACTTCACACCAGTGCTAACAAGCTCCATTTTGAATCAAGTAACAGGGCGCAATCTTTACTTCAAATGTGAACTCTTCCAGAAAACTGGATCTTTTAAGGTAACAATCCCTTTTGATAGTGTGGCGTGTATCTTTTCAATCCCTTTCACATATTAAATTTATTAGATTCTCCTAACTACTGAGTGAGGTAGAACATCTTCTTATAGTTGAAGAAAGGGTTGTAGTTTTCCTTTGATCAAGTTCTGGTTACTTAGCATCAGGTGTTTACAAGCCACTTTTTTACTGTCCAAACTAGGATATGAGAATGAAAGAGGAAACTTCTAATGATTAAATGGAGACAATAAACATCACCCTGAACTGTTGCAAAGCAAAATGGGCGAGTGGGATTACTGTATATCCAAGTTTAAGCACTCACTTTGTGTCAGCTTGCTATTGATACCTTATTATGATTATAAAAGATCTAAACCTAGCTAAATCCTCATATCTTTTTTTTTTTTTTTTTAATTCTCACCCGAGGATATCTTTCCATTGATTTTTAGATAGAGTGGAGAGGAGAGGGAGAGACAGAGAGCAACATCGTTGTGAGAGACACATTGATTGGTTGCCTCCTGCGCGTGCCCTGACCGGGTGGGGATCAAGCCTGCAACTGAAGTACATGCCCTCGACTGGTATCAAACCCGGGACCCTTCAGTCTGCAGGCCGACGCTCTATCCCTGAGCCAAACCAGCTAGGGCCTCATAAAATCTTTTTCTACCAAGTATGTCAGTGCCTTTTCTATGCAAAAAGATAGACTTATGTGTGTTGATCAGGGGTGGGCAAACTTTTTGACTCGAGGGCCACAATGGGTTCTTAAACTGGACCGGAGGGCCGGAACAAAAGCATGGATGGAGTGTTTGTGTGAACTAATATAAATTCAAAGTAAACATCATTACATAAAAGGGTACGGTCTTCTTTTTTTTTTTAGTTTTATTCATTTCAAACGGGCCGGGATCCAGCCCGCGGGCCGTAGTTTGCCCACGGCTGGTGTTGATTCATTACCATTAGTTGAGCTTTACGATCCTTCAGGTAAAAATCTGAAAGCTGCATTTAGTGCAGTACCTGACAGGTGTCAGTACCTGTTAAGTGATAGCTTTAAGATTTCAAGAATCTACCTTTTCTCCCACCATAAACTGAGAGCTTTTACACTAAAACATAAAAAATTCTCACCCTAGCCGGTTTGACTCAGTGGATAGAGTGTCAGCCCATGGACTGAAGGGTCCCAGGTTTGATTTTGGTCAAGGGCACATGCCCAGGTTGCAGGCTCATTCGGTCCCCAGTAGGGGGTGTGCAGGAGGCAGCCTATCAATGATTCTCTCTCATTGATGTTTCTATCTCTCTCCGCCCTTCCTCTGAAATAAATACAAATATATATTTTTTAAAAGTTCCTTTTCCCTTTGCTTCTGCCAAGGCCTTGCCCTATATCCAACTTGCAGGAGATGGCAGGCTGGTCAACAAATAGGTTGATGAGAAACGTCTTAAGAGAGATATATACATATACAAAGTGCCATGAAAGAAGAGAGAATGAAGTTACTAATTTTGCCTGGGAGATCAAGGAAGTTGAATCAGATGAGTTTGATCCCAATTTTATAGGATGTGTACTTTTTTTAAAAATTTTTTAAAATATATTTTATTGATTTTTTACAGAGAGGAAGGGAGAGAGATAGTTAGAAACATCGATGGGAGAGAAACATCAATCAGCTGCTTCCTGCACACCCTCTACTGGGGATGTGCCCGAAACCCAGGTACATGCCCTTGACAGGAATCGAACCTGGGACCTTTCAGTCCGCAGGCTGACGCTCTATCCACTGAGCCAAACCGGTTTCGACAGGATGTGTACTTTTATCCAGATAAGGGAGTGGGGGAAAGAACGACAGGTAGAGATATGGCATGCTCAGAGGTACAGGGGTGTGAGCTAACCTGGTAGGAGGGAAACTAGAAACAATTTAGGATGGCTACAACAATGATACAAGCAGATTTGTATTTGAAAGGCTGTAACTTATAATTTGTACTTTTTTTTTTTTTTTTTTTTTTTTTTACTAAAAAAGGCATTCAGCCCTAGTCAGTTTTGCTCAGTTAATAGAGCGTCAGCCTGTGGACCTAAGGGTCCCAGGTTCGATTCCTGTCAAAGGCACATACCTCAGTTGCAGGCTCTTCCCCAGCCCGTGCCCCGGTTGGGGCTCACGCAGGAGACAACCAATCAATGTTTTTCTCTCACATCGATGTTTCTGTCGTTCCCTCTCTCTAAAAATCAATGGGAAAATAACAAGTGAGGATTAAAAAATAAAATAAAAAGGGAAGTCAAAGAAAAAAATAACATGTCTTTAAAAGATCACTTTAATAATCTAGTGGAAATATTAGATGAGAATGATCCTTGAAGCAGGATCACTTGAGGTTTGATAACACACAAGTTGAAAAATGAGGCCTCACCAAGGTAGTGGCAAAGAAGACACACAAGATATTTAGGAGGTAGAATAGATAAGATTTAGTGATGGACTGGATGTGCAGTATTAGGAAGAGAAAATCTAGTAAAGCTCCTTGGTGTGTGTGTTTTCTTTAAGAAACTTTAATCAAATACGAATTCAATCTTTCTTTTCAAGGTTCGTGGTGCCCTTAATGCAATCAGAGGTTTGATTCCTATCACTTCTGAAAAGCCCAAAGCTGTTGTTACTTACAGCAGTGGAAATCATGGCCAGGCTCTCGCCTATGCTGCCCAATTGGAAGGTACTTATTGATTTCTCCGGGTCCTGGGTAGGATGTTAGAGTAGAAAAGTATCCTTACTTTCAGTGAAGTGGGTGATAGCTGTGGGAATTTCTCCAAGTCCCTATCTGATTACAAGCAACTGAACAGAAATTTCTACCCTAAACTTTCCCAATTTGTACTAACTGTGTTTCTCCATCTCAGGAATTCCTGCTTATATTGTGGTACCCCAAACAGCTCCCAACTGTAAAAAACTGGCAATACAAGCCTATGGAGCCTCTATAGTCTACAGTGAACAGAGCGACGAGGTGAGAAAGGGAGCAATGTTCAGTAACATCTTACCAGTTTTCACTGTCAAATGAAATTTCTCTTCCTACATTTTTGGGTACTTCTTCTCAGGCTCCTGTTTCCCTTTTTTTCTTTTTTAAAGATTTTATTTTTTAAAGAAAGGGAAAGGGAAAGAAACATTGATCAGCTGCCTCCTGCATGGCCCCCACCCAGGGGTTGAGCCTGACCTGGAATTGAACCAGCAACCTTCTGGTGCACAGGACAGTGCCCAACCTCCTAAGCCACACAGGCCAGGGCTCGTTTCCTTTTATATATGCCTAATCGTTTCTTTATCTACATTCACATTAGTCTCATAGTTTGAAATATCACCCATCTATATGCCAACTCCAGTCCTCAACTTTGCCCTTAACCCAGATTTGTATATCCAACAGCTACTCAGTGTCCCTACTTGGATGTCTTAATAGGCATTTCAAACTTGCTGTCTAAAACCAAATGATCTCATTCCCCCCTTTATTGCTCCTCTTCGTCTTCCTCATCTCAGTAAATGGCAAACTAGTTGCTAAAAACAAATGTTGAAGTCATCTTGGTAACTTTTGCACTCCACATCCAAATTTTAGACCTACTTTCAAAGTATTTTCATAATTCACCTACTTCTAGCAGCCTCTACCATTACTGATTCAAACCATCAGTTCTCAGGTAGATTCAGCAGCCGCCTAACTGGTGTCTCTGCTTCCACCCTTGTCCCTCTAGTCTGTTTTCAGAGCAACCAGCTATCCTTAATAAGTTAGAACTTCTCTTCCTCCAGCGTTTTCCCATCTCATACACAGTGGGAACCAAAGTTCTTCAATCATCTAAGGCCTAGACGGACGGGCCCGATGGACGGGCCCATTCCTATCACTCTGACCTCATCTCCCAGTTATCCACCCCAACCGCACTTAGCAGTTTCTCAGAAAGGCCAAGAGCTTTGCAGTCTTTGCACTTGGAATTACTTTCCATGGAATATTCTGGGTTCACATCTATTAAAATATCATTTATCAGCGGCCCTTTGTAAGTACCCTGTATAAATTTTCTCCATAGCATGTAGACATACTATACATTTACTTATATTCTGCCCCTCCCCAACATATAGAGCTAATACGCTAATTAGACCAGGCGGCAGAATGACCAGTGGACAGGGCCATGAGGCAGCCTGGGCTGCGACAGGCCAAGCCCCTTGCACAAATTTCATGCATGGGGCCTCTAGTTACAACATAACTCCCTGGAGCACAGGGACTGTTTTGTTCAGTTATATTCCCAGTGCCCAAAGTCTCAAAAAAGTAGATGGCCAATAAAGGGTTAAATGCTTAAATCTAATTTGTTGAAAACACTACTAAATACAGAACAAGTATGCTAAAATAATGTACTCTTTCAGTCCAGAGAACGTATTACCAAAAGAATTATAGAAGAAACGGAAGGCATCATGGTACATCCCAATCAAGAACCTGCAGTGATGGCTGGGCAAGGGACAATTGCCATGGAAGTGCTGAACCAGGTAAAAGCCTAGTCAGTTCTTGCTGAACTACTGGTAAATCTGATGTTTGACTGTAGAATCAACTATTTAATATGTACATATAAAACTGGTGTTTAACAGGCCTACTTATACTTTATATTCTTTTCACTAAAGGTTCCTTTGGTAGATGCACTGGTGGTACCTGTAGGAGGAGGAGGAATGATTGCTGGAATAGCAATTACAGTTAAGGTAAGAAAACAACTTCTGGAAGACTCCCCACTTTAGGCATAGAGGATTTTATTTCACATCATAGTACATTGTGGTACTTGCTCAACATTCCCCCTAAACTGCCGTTCTCATTTCTTAGCAAATGAGATGAAAGGCCCTTCTCTGCCTCACCACCCTTTCCTTAATTTATGACTGTACAGCACAAAAGCAGTAACAGTGAGTGGCACCCTATCACAGTCCTTTCCCTGAATTCCATCTCACCAACCTACTATCCAAGTCAGGGGCTACTGTTTTCTCAAGTTACCAATAGAACCAGATGTGATCTAGGCAACTGAAGGCCAGTATTAGGCATACGATTTAAAGTGCTTTAAGGTCATATTTTCATTACACCTATCAGAGAAGGCTCTTACTTGGTCAGAAAGGTGTTACCTGTACTACCTATTTTACTGCAGGCATGCAGGCAGTGGCTAGTGGTAAGGTGTCTACTATTCCTCTTCCCAGGCTTTGAGACCTACTGTGAAGGTATATGCTGCTGAACCCTTGAATGCAGATGACTGCTACAAGTCCAAACTGAAAGGGGAACTGACCCCCAATCCCTGTCCTCCAGAAACCATAGCAGATGGTGTCAAATCCAGCATTGGCCTAAACACCTGGCCTGTTATAAGGGACCTTGTGGATGATGTCTTCACTGTCACAGAGGATGAAATTAAGGTGAGGCTCCAACAGGAAAGAAAACCAAAGACCGGAGCAACTTTTTAAGCAAAAGATACTTCTCTTGCAGGTAGCAACTCATCCACTGGGGATTTGACTTGGTGACTCATGACTGGGAGGGCGCTCTAGATATTGGGACAACCCTCATCAGAAGCAGAGTTAGAATGAAAAAAAAAAAAAAAAAAAAAAAAAAGACTAGCTCTTCATTGGCAAGCATATGTATATATAACATTTAGCTTTTAAGTGTAAAGGCCCACCAACTAGGCTTTCCTTCTCCCGTTTCACTAATTCTTACTCCCTCTCTACCAACAGTATGCAACCCAGCTGGTATGGGAGAGGATGAAACTGCTTATTGAACCTACAGCTGCTGTTGGAGTGGCTGCTGTTCTGTCTCAGCATTTTCAAACAATTTCCCCAGAAGTAAAGAACATCTGTATTGTGCTCAGTGGTGGAAATGTAGATTTAACTTCCATAACTTGGATGAAGCAGGCTGAAAGGCCAGCCCCTTATCAATCTGTTTCTGTTTAATTTATGCATAAGGAAGAAATGTGATTCAGTTTTTCTAGACACTTGGAAATTTTGTTTCTTAGTCAATGTTAACTTCCCACTTCTTACCTACTTAAACAGCTTTCAACATCCTAATGGAGGGTAGATATATCAGTAAGATTTAAGGTTGTGTGTTTTTTTTTTTTGATAAAGTAGCAATAGAAAAAACATCCACTTAACCTTGTCAAGGCCAAGAAAAATCTTTTGCAAAAAGGGACAGCAGGCTTGCAGGCTAAAATAGGTAACACAAACTTTGCCCAATCACAACCTGTAGGTTCCCATCCCTAGGGTGCTAAGCTAGTAGCAAGGAGACAGAATCCCATTGTATCCATTACTTCATGTCCATTTCTGGCACTGCTGAAATCTCACTTTTCACCCAAGGTACTGGTTCTGGTACATATGGATCATAAGTCCATTTGGGGAAAACTCGTTTATAGAGGTTCATCAGTACTGTGTCCTGAGATTTTAGCTTCCCATCAAAACTGCACTTCATATGGCCATGAGTACCTAGAAAGAAAACACAGCAAGTTGGTGAGATTAAAATAAAATTTTAGCACTGGTTTCTGCCCTAATAGCCACTTAGTAGCACTGGAGATAGCTAGCTAAGGTTCCAAACACCACATTCTCTTACCTAAAGGCTCCTTGATATGTCCCCTGCGGCCCCACTTTGTTCTCAGTTCCACCGGTTTAAACCACAGCACGTCCTCTTAGAATGAAACACACAGAAGACCAAGATACATTTACCTGCAAAATGTACACCCAACCTTCACCCCATAAAGGCAATCAGATCCCACCCTTCACACCTACCTCTGCTGAAGAACATGTAACGTACTACTGCCATCTTAGTAAAAATTTTGAAAGGATGACCACTCAGAACAACTCTCTTGATGACCATCCTGTCTGGATCCACTGACAAGAGATGGCCGGTAGCAACGAGGCTGTGCATTCCTAAGGGGCAAAAGCAGAGCAGCAAGAGTCTTTAGGCCAAAGCATTTATTGCTCCAGTCCATTTAAAGACCTATGCAAGATATTCTTAGAGAAACCTTAAAATAGGGATGTACTATGCTGCCTTCCTAGATCCATGGCAAAGATCACTAAGTGATATTCCTGCTGACCCTGTCCCCAGAACCTATCCTGAATATAAAACACTTTGAGCAGCTTCTACCAATTAGCTCCAGTTTGTAAGCGAGATCACACCCCATTGCCCGGCTGGTGTGGCTCAGTGGTTGAACATCGATCCATGAACCAAGAGGTCACTGGTTCGATTGCCAGTCAGGGCACATGCCCGGGTTGCAGGCTCAACCCCCAGTATGGGGTGTGCGAGAGGCAGCCGATCGATGATGTTTTTCTCTCATCGACGTTTCTATCTCTCTATTCCTCTCCCTTCCTCTCTTAAAAAAAAAAAAAAAATACTAAAAATGTATTTTTTTTAAAAAAAGAAGAAAGGATCAAACCCCATTTGTCGCCCGCCCCTGCCTTAGACCCACTGTGAGGCTGAGACTGGGATATTCTGAAAACTATCATCCCCTTCTCTATACCATTTGGCTCCCAAATCTAAATACAGAAAACCATGTTAAGTCTATTAGAGACCTATAAGTCTGTTTACCTCTGTGAACTCAACTTACCATTGCTATTCTGTTTGAAAAGCAGCACAGATGCAGGAGGAAAAGTGATTGGGGCATATACTGTCACCACCAGGGCCATGTCAGCAGTCAAGAATCTCTGAAATTTATGTTTATCCGCTGCCATAATAAAGGTTAAAAAATAAAAACCAAAAACATTTTGAGGAACCACAGGTAATCCAGAGGCCTGTGAAAAGCTGTATCACTGCAACTCTTACACCCAAGACAGCCTGTGTTTCTCTTCCCAACTAGTTCTCAAAATATTTTCCTGCCTCCATACACCTCAAAGGTACAACCCGACCCTATCACAGTGATTTTTCAGAGGCAGAATTTGAGCCTAGACTACATTTGGGGTTTGAAAAAGTTCTCCAGTGATTCTAATACATATCACCCCTACCTACCTCATTTGGGAATCAGTACTTTATAGAGAATATGTCCACTAAATCAACAGTTTAGTCTTAAGTGAGAACTGGCAAACATTTTCTATAAAGGGCCAGATAGTAAATATTTTAGGCTTTATGACCATGGAGTCTCTGTTCTAATTACTCAACTGTCACTGTCGTACAAAAATAGCCAAGACAATATATTTTTTAAAAAAGCAAAACTGTATTCCAACAAAACTTTATAAACAGTAGGACAGACGTGGCCCAAGGGCTGTATTTTACTGACCTCAGATCTTGGGGACTATCTGGAATTTCTGTTTTTACCTTCAATGAAACCCTCCTCCTTTTTAAATACTGAAGTATAGGGAAGTAAAATATTTTAAGAGAAAGAAAAGTTAATCCCTCATTTAGACAGCATTGGTGGTGAGAACAGAAATTATCCAGAGCTCCCATTAGTACCGCCTTCATCATCTTCCTCTGGCCATTGCTGAGCTGAGTGTGTATAAGTCATATTCAAAAGCCCCCAAGTTAGTACAAAACTTCCCACTCCTAATTTGTAGCACAATAATTTTTGCCACAAAAGTGTCACCACTCTCCAAACTCTCATCTAGTCTCAACATCTCAGAAGCCACACATCTCTTGCTTAATCTATCTGGGGATGACCCACTAGCCTTCACCCACACTGCCAATGGCATATCAGATGTCAAGGGTTCCACACTTCGATACATCATTTTTATAAAGCCGCCTCCTCTGACTCAAAATCTACCCTGGAACAAATACTCATGGCAGAGAAACCTCAGCACCACACAGAGGTAGCATCACTGGGATGCTTCAGACAGGTTCAGACATTTTGAATAAACACATCATTGGCTTCTAAACCAGAGTACTGAAAATGCCTCTAACCCAGAGACCTAGAATTTGAAATTGTGTGCTCTGTACCACCTCACCTAAAGTTACAGTTTCCCAAGAGACAACAGGATAGACAAGAACCCAGAGGTTCCCCACTGCTTACCTGCAGTGTGCTGAGAAAATAAAGGTGAGGCTCGGAAGCGCCTGAACCCACAGTGGAAGATCAGCTCCTCTTTAGCTTTCACAGGTTCAGTGTTGCCAGGATGCCGGCTTACCACCATATTCAGTACTGACATCTAGAGACCAAGAAAGAAAAACAGAACTTCATATCTAGAGCAGCTTAACCTGAAAGAAGGCACACCAAACTAACAGGTTCAGATTCACATCTGATGTGGTACAGATGATGAGACACAGATTCACCTTTTACCTTCACACCAACTGGCATTTATACCCAACACAGGCTGGTTTTCAGAGCTTTCATGTACCCATTTGTACTAGTTGACATTCTGGTGTCTAACATGCAAGAGCTCAACACCTGCCACATGCTCAGTGACTTCAAGCCACTCACTCACCACACACCTCAAAATCACACTCATGAAGCCCTCTTTCTTCCTCAACACTCACACTGACCAAAGGCCAGAGCTCTCACATACACTCCAACCTCCATGACTACTGCCTCCAAGAGAAAAGATCCACACCTTGGCATCCACACCCTTTATTTTTAAGGCTGCCAACCCTTGGTTAAAATCTGATCTGACAAGTATACTTATCTCAGAGAAGTCTCAGAACCACACAGGTTGCATCATTGAGATGCTCAGACAGGTTCAGACATGTAGGGTTAAACCATCATTGACTTCTCTATCACCCCGGTTTAATCCTCAAGGCCTATTTTTTTGCATCCCAATGAGCAAAATGCCAGGCACAAGTAAAATGTTAGACTGTCAGATAAAACTGGTCAGAAAGTTGCATAACTCCCATTTCCCACAAGACACTAACCTTCTGTTCATGAGGCAGTAAAGAAAACGCGGCCAAGGGTGCCCCGCGCTTGAAATACTCAACCACAGAGACAGGTACTTCAGAGACATGAAGTGTGACGTACCAGCCAACCTGCCAGATAAAGCAGAAAACAGCCACACAGTTACCCTTAAGGCCTCAAAAATGATGAAACATTTCTCCAAATACGTTAAAAAGTCTCATAAGGCCAACCCCTGCCCTTCAAAATTGCCTTTCACAGATGCCTCAACTATCCAGCCACTCAGTTGTGGCAAAACTTTTCCAGTTAACATATCTGATACCTCCCTTCTCCCAATATCACTCTTATCAATGACTCAGTGGCTCCTCTAATTCAGCTACGGGCAGCACAAAACTAAGGACTCTTGCCAAGAGGAGTAAAGGAGGGGGCAGCTTGGCAAACAAAAGCAAATTGTAGGGATGAATGAAGGAAGGCAGATACCTCAGCTCCTTCAACGTCTTTTTCCTTGATTTCTTTAAAGATGCGTTTCCTGGTATTGGTAAAGTTCTGAAACTGAAAGATCCGAGCATAATCTTGAGGAAGATTTTCCTTAGGATCCCATGGAGATGTCCGGAAGCTCTTGAGGCCTCTGTATTTCTGAAATCTAGAATATAGGAGATTTTAAATAAATTAATAGTCTAATTTAAATGGTGCTACCCTTTCACTTAAGTCAATAATATGGCTAAGGTTCTAACTTAAAAGAACTCTTATCACTATTTCTTCAAGATAACCTAATAGCCCAAATCAAGAGCACACTCCAAAACAGTTAACAAGTATTTCAGAACCAAACCCAAGTTTCTCACTGACAAAGGACAAAGTATGTATAGTGGCTCCCTGGTGCCTATCAGGGATGGCTCCTTAACCTGAGGAACATGGTCCTTGATAAAAGCCTAACTTCTCTAACATCCAACAAACTCCCTGAGTTTGCAGACTAATCCCCATGCTTTTATTCTTTTGGTTCTATCCAAATCCCCCCAAATCTCCAAACATTCAATTGAGTATTAGTTCACATAGGAAGATTGCTAATTAATCTTATTAAAGTACTGTTAACGTTATTAGTCTACACCACAGTCTAGAACTTGGTAATGTATTAATTTCTTGTATGTATGTCTTATCTTCCCACATATAACATTAGCCCTTCAGGAGCAGAACAATGTTTTTCTTCTTTTGTGTCACACTGACACCTCTGAGCCACATAAATTTAAAATAAAAAATGTATTAACTGATTTTGGAGTTGTTGACTAACCGAATT